TGTGGCGGGAGTTGAAAGTCCGTGTTGCTCGGCGACAGCCCCAAAACATCACTGCTCTCGAGAAGATCTGCATGGAGGAATGGGCCAAAATACCAGCTACTGTGTGTGCAAACCTGGTAAAGACCTATAGTAAACGTTTGACCTCTGTTATTGCCAACAAAAGTTATGTTACAAAGTATTGAGTTGTATTTTTGTTATTGACCAAATACTTATTTTCCACCCTGATTTACGAATAAATTCTTTACAAATCCTACCATGTGGATTCATGGATTTTTTTTTTTCACATTCTGTCTCTCACAGTTGAAGTGTACCTCTGGTGCAAATTACTGACCTCTGTCATCATTTTAGGTGGGGGAACTTGCACAATCGGTGGCTGACTAAATACTTTTTTGCCCCACTGTAGGTGATATTATCCAAGTGTGTGCAGGTTTAATACACAGGTCTTAAGGTGGGGACTGGTATTAGGCCTATAAGAGGAAACGTTAAAATAATATCTAAATAGCGTTAGCAATATTTGAGTTACAAAGCATCATAAGTCCCCTTAAAATTAAACTCAGCCCAACTAAGCCGAAAGTGAAATGTATCTTTAAGACATACACAATAACAAGAAGACGCATAACAGTCAAGCTATTTAAAGCAATTTAATTTAGCAAATTTTGTAAGTAATCTGAATTTAATAAGACTGTATTGTCTTTACGTATTTTGTTTGTTTGTTGCGTTTCTATGAAGATTTAAATTTTAGACCCATCATTATGGTCAGCTGGAGTCAACTGCTAATTGGGTGCTGCCAAGCCGTGCTTCCACCCACAACCCCATTCACCGAGCAGGCAACTGTGACTTCCTAACCACATCAATAAATCCCATCAGTAAGAAGACGACATCAACAAGACTTTCACATAAACACCTACTTGTTTGCTGGGAATTCCCCAATGCTTGGGCTATGCCATGAAGCAGTTTATAAATTCAAACGTGCACAAATGTGACTCACTTCAACCACTGGTGTATGTTTATGCAGCATGACTTTTTCTTTCCTATAATCGGATGCTTATGGTTGTTCAGCGTTTAGTTCTGCTAGACACGTTTATACGAAAAGACGACCATCTTCTTGAGCTATATTAGACAACAATCGCATCATTACTGCTTTAATGTGTTGGTTATGGTGACTGGCTGAATATGTGCAACAGGATCTTTTTCAAGCACACTGTGGGAAGACTTAAATTTTTGGGGGGAAAGTACGTGCTATTTGATCTCCAGTTTGCAGGGCTTTTGGATAAAATTTTAGCAATCTATCACTTTGTGTTGCTTGAGTGTGGTAGGCCTGAAATTTGTATTGGTAATACATGGAGAGTTCACTGCCCAAAGACAAATGTTAATGAATATTTTTCACTATTCTCAGTGCTTCTATGAATTTTATCATGTTCTGTTTTAGTAATTGGTGACAATCTTTGACTGATTATACCATGGTGTCCTCAGTGTCACAATTGGTGGGATTCTGTTTTTCCCCCCGCTACTTCTCTATATCCATTGCTTTCTCATTGCCAGCAAAGTTCTCATCTGGGTACAGCCAAGTTTTTCAAAATAGAAGCCTAAATGTGGCAGCACACCACCCAAAACCAGCAGTCAGCCAGTCGTCTGGGTGTTTTTCCCTTATTTTACAGATTTTGTCCCCTGGCTTGATGTGGCCCTTAACAAGAGGGTGGTGGCACAGTGCTTCTGACTTCTTCTGTGTGAGTTTAATCATCAGAGGACAAAACTTGCTATGTTCACATATAGAAGAGTTTGGAGAGGCTTTGGACTGTAAAAGCGACTGATAATTTCAACTATGACCAACTATGTTTTCACTGTGGCACAGCAAGTTATGAACTGCATTTAGTGTTCATTTTGAAAAGCAGTACTAAAGCCTCCAAAAGGAGTACGCGTCAAAATCACATCCAAGGAGTAGCCTTGACTCAAGTAACACGATCAGATCACAAAATAAAGGCAGTTCTGGAGAAGACGATGTGGTTTCACTGGCTTGCAGTACCATAACGTTAATGTCCCCTGTGCTCGGCAAATCTGTCTCTCTCAGACGCCATGTGTATGTGAAACCCCCTTTATTTAACCCCTATTCACAGTCCCACAGTGATGGGAGCTAATTGGCATAGACAGTTAAAATTGATAATGATAAGAGGCAGCTCCCCTAGACCGTTTCAACGAATCCTGATGTTATGCTGTTTGTCACAGCACTGGGGCTGGAATGCAGGGCCTTCTTGGAAAAAAGATGAACGCAAAAAGAACAAAAAATGTGAGGGATTTTTTTTATTATTATTTTGATCTGTTGCTTTTTGCTTTGTTTTTTCAAGCTAGACCTGAGAAATAACAATGATATAGTTGTGTTATGTTAGCGAAGTGAAAGAAAAATTAATATATTTTGATGCATTCTCTGTTTTTGTGATTGGATGAAACAATATATATTGTAGATCAAAAGTTCACACCGAACTGCCTGGTAAGCAGCTGTAGTGGTAGAGAGGCTTGTCCATTAATCACAGTTGGCTAATCCCTGGTGCTGTGATGGACCAAAGTGTTCTTGGCCAAGTTATTAAACCTGAAGTAATGAGAGTGCTTTGTAAAGTACTTTGGAGTCACAAAGGTTTAAAAGGTGCTTTATAAGTATAGTTCATTTAATCTAAACATTAGCTTCTTATAAACAACAAAGACAGTCAAACCACTCCGTGTATATCAGTGGTACTTGGGTCACTCTGTCCTTCTTCAGAGGTCAAAGGTCTTAAAGAAGAACACTGCTCATCATTACATCTCCACAGTCCACTGGGTGCATTTAACTGATCAACAGCTGATGACCGCTTGGACTCAGTCACTCTGCAAGCTGCCTAATAATGTCTAATGACCTGCTGGGTAGTAACCCTCATAGATGAAAGGACTCTCACGGATGATGCTTCCAGACTACTGGGGTTAAAGTGTTTTTAGAAAGTTCCTTTGTTGTCTTAGCCACTCGAGCGGCACTGGAATTTACCTACGAAGTGTGTCTGGTATTTTTTATTTTTTTTTGTTAAATGCAGTTTTAGCAAAAGAAACAAAATTAGTTTCGGCCTTCTCTTCTAACCATTCACATATTTGCACAGCACTTTTAGATACTTACATATGGCACATTTCCTCTTACATTAACTCATTCTGCTGCTTTGTCTGCAGCAGCTGTGCTGCTTTCTATCATTTTGTGTTTAACATAACATACTTTTTAACATGATTGCTCAGATGCTTTCCACGTACCTCCCACTCTTTCACACACACGTGTTTTGTTTTGGTTCTACTGACTGTCATTTCTCTTACTTCCAGAGCATACCTCTCGTAAACCTTCCACCTCACTACAGATCACAATTTTCTGCAAACATCATTGTCCACAGAGACTCCTGCTTGACCTCAACTGCCAGCCCATCCATCACCACTGCAAAAGGGGCTAAATGCCGATCTCTGATGTAATCCCGCCCCCACCTTGAACCCATCTGTCACTCCTACTGCACACTCACCTCTGTCTCGCTATCTTCATACATGTCCTGCACCACCCTTACATACTTCTCTGCCACTCCTGACTTCTTCATTTAGTTCCACAGCTCCTCTCGTGGCACTGCACTAGGTTCTTTCTCTAGATCCTTCTCCATCAACACTCTCAAAGCAAGCATCAAATCTGTAGTGCTCTTTCTAAGCACAAAGACACACTGCTTTCCTATATCTTCGTGGTGTGGCTCATCAGCTTTATCTCTCTATGGTTACTGGAGCTCTGCACATCAAATTAATTTTTGAAAACCAGTACCAGTACTTTTCCTCATGTCAATATCAGAGCATACTGTTCAATTCAATTCAAAATTTGTTTGTATAGCACATTTAAAAAACAACAGAGTTGACCAAAGTGCTTCACAATCGTTTAAAAACAAGAGAAAACATTATGGTCCAGGTATCTTGAAAATGCAGCTTTCCTTCACACCATAATATCACCAAGCTGTGAAATCAAAACAATAATCCAAAGGCCACAAACACTCTAGGAAAAGAAAACGTTGCTTCACTGTGATATTTATTATTTGGGCTCCCATTCCATGTATTTTATTTTGAACTGCAGCTTCGCTCAGTTTTGCTCACCTTATGTTTAATAAGCCTTAAGTCGTTTACAGGAAGAAAAACAAGCAGATAAAAGGGGCTCACTGTTGTTCTTGTGCTCCCATTGGAATATCTCTGTAACCACTATAGCAGTGTTGTGTATTTAAACTACATTGCACCTCTGAAGACAGAACAAATACTCTCCCTTCAGACTGCAACAAGGCCACAGCAGTTTTAATTAACTGCAATAATATCCTGACATTATCAAAAATAGATCACCACTGACCTGCAGCTTAGAACAGTAGCAAGAGTGTCCTTTCAACATGTTTGAGATATTGCAAGTTTCCCAATCGCCAAAGAGGTGATTATTAGAAGATAAAGTAACTTAAAAATATATCTTATTAAAATTATTTTATTTAATGTTGAACTTTTCTGATCTGTTTCATGGAAGGCTGTCAGATTTGAAAAACACTTTGACTGTAAAGTGTTTTTTGCTGACTTTCATTGGAAAAAAAATCATTTGTATCTCAGCTGCCTACTGAAGCTTTGATGAACCAATTAATTTAATAAGCAGTGATCATTTATAAAGCACTTCAGTTTGAAAAAGTGTGTAGCCAATACCAAATTAAAATAATGCAAAAAGCTCTATTTAAGCATTTAAGACCCTCTTTACTGTGCAAAGAGAAACAGTCACGACTCTGATCAGGATCCTGCAGAGCAGAGAGGCCACGGGCTGCTCTGTGTTGTGACTCCAGCTGCAGCCAGACATTTCCTGGACGTCCTGCACGTGAGATGGAAAAACACATCACTGTCCGCTTCCCATGTGAAATTCCCTGCCCTTTACTAATCCCCTAAAGTATGTGGATGACTCATTAAAATCACAAAATTAACAGACAGACATACCTGGAAATTAATGGAAAAAACAATAAAATGGGGACATGAGAAGGTTAGATCTTTAAGATGTTTTCAGTTTTCAGAGTTGGTCATATGATGATTACTGTGGAAAAAAGGGGAGAATTCAGTGTAGAGCCTTCATTATTTTTATTAGATTTTTATTTTATTACATTTTCTCAATAGAACACCTGGATAAAATGCCTCCATAAATTACACAGTGTTCTAGTGGCACATGTGCTTTCACATGCAAAGAGAATCCATTCTTCATCACTATGCATCAATACTGGGATAACCTGAATTTGTAATCATCTGAAACAGATCAGGATTGTAATAGATGTTTTTTTGTAAGATTATTTATGTAATTTTCAGAGCAAACTACTACAGAACAAATATTATAGTAGGCCTAATGGTTTCCACATGAAGAAAAGTCATCATTCTACATTATTCAAAAAACAAAATAACAGATGATTAATGGGCCATCTGTCTGCCCCACTTTAATATCTAATTGAATAAACTATGGCAGCAGCTCAGTAGACAAGATCAAGGTGACCTGCTGAGATTCAAACTGAGCACCAGAATAGGGGGGGGGCAAAGGTGATTTGCCTGACTTTGAATGCAGCATAAAAACATCCAGTGAGTGGCAGTTCTCTCAGCAAAAAACAAAACAAAACAACTTGATGGAACAGGAAGTCATCGGAGTAACCCAGTAACTCAAACAACCCCTCATTACAAATATGGGCTGCAGCAGCAGAAGACCATACCGGGTCACACACAGATAAACATTGCCTGGTCTGATGAGTACATTTGTGCTGTGACATTCTAAAGACAGGGTCAGAATTTGGCACAAACAACAATCATGGATCCATCCTGCCTGGTATCAATGATTTAGGCTGCTGGTGGTGATCTAATAATAATAATGATGTGAGCCCCTTACTATTGGACCGTAAAGTATGGCTGCTTCCAACAGGTTAACATAACACGTTACAAAGTTCAGATGAACTCAAACTGGTTCCTGTGATTGTCCTGGGATGGTTAGGATTCCTCTGTTCTCTTCACTAATGTTTTGGCCTTCATTGAGGATGTGCAAGTCCTGCCTCAGACTCCACCTGCTGATTGAGCCCCCTGGTTTCAGCCTACACACCTGATTCTCATCAGGCCATCAGTGACAGTATTTAAGGACCAGCTGATGTTCCCAATCGCTGCTAGATTGTTGTTTATTGGTTGCAAAGACGTCTTTCATCGACAGAAGGGTGCAGTCTCCTCAAATTTTCTCCATTTTCTCCTGCATTGTCTGGTAAGGAATTGCTGAATACTTGCCTGCCTGTCCACCTTCTGACAACACCTACTACCTTTGGAATCCTAACCAGTCATTCCCAAATTGCCTTGCTCCTGGAAAATCAAAATCAGTCTGCCTTTGCTGTGCAGTAGACTGAAAACCTGTCCAGGGTCTACTCATCCTTTTGCCTCGTGACAGCTGGGACAGGTATCGGCCCCCATCCAACCTTAAATCAGATGTATAGATGTACACTACACTAACTCTAAAATACACTTTAACTCTATAAACACACTGAAGAAGCAGAAAATCTGAGAGGTAAGTTATTCTTTAGATCACCATCAATTAACCAGTTTCATAATGAATGGAATGAGTCTGCTATGTTGAAATGATAAGGATGTTTTTTGTTTTGTTTTGCTTTTTACCTTTTGTTCCTGATCCTTTTGGATTACTTATGGGTATTAATAATCTTCTTTAGCATGTTGAGATGATGTAATAACAGCAAGCAAAATCTCAGATAAGCCGACGTTGTCGTTTGGTGCTAATGACGAGAAGCAGATGAGGTTATCAGCTACTTAAAAAATATAATGAAGTTAGTGGAGACTTAAATCGGAAGAAATCCATCTACAAGGTAAAGTTGCTTTATGCATTTCCTTGTAAATAGGCAACAATTTGTGAAAATGCCTAGTATATCAACTTTATGAGGCGATAATAAGCAATTGTTGTGTTCACAGTTGCTACCAAGTCAGTAAAAAAATATTTATGGTTCTCATAAATATCTCAAAAATTGGCCACAGAAGTTTAGCAGGCTATCAACATGTTTTTTTTTTTCTCACTTTTTTCCCCCTTTCTTACTTTATTTGCTCGCTTGTTTTGTTTTTATTTCTTCATACATCAACTCCTTGTGAAGAGGACCTCATGTGGCCACTAAAGGAACTGCAGATTCTGGCTTCATTTTTCATCCCTGTAGATTGCCAATTGGTGGGGAGGCAAAGGCTAGTCTGCAGTTCTGTATTACAAATTAAACAGTCAGGATGGTTGTTAATGTATAACGCCAAACCTTTTTGCAGGTATTTCTTCCTGAAACATAAACCCACATAAAGCACAGTGCATCTGGAGTGCACTCTGAGGCAATGCGTGGCACAGTGGCACAAGTGAGTCTTTGTTGTTTAGTGGGTCTTACATCATCTCCAGACTCCAGTTCCTGGATCAGCTACTGAAGGGGTTGGTAAGCGATCCCAGAAGTGCACTTTACCCTGGCCTGAACCCACTGGAGTTTTACCTGTCTCACAAAAGCTGCTGTTAGCTGCATTTTAACAGTGCATGTTCCCACAATATGTTTTTGGGATTCTGTCAACCAGTGAATTAAAATCTCACCTTCATGTCCAGTGTAAGCCTTTGAGCCTTGCTGTTTTCAATCAGTAGATGCAGGGAGCCCTGCTGGCAAGCAGGTCAACAGTTTCAGTGCTGAAACAGTTGTTGCACGGCAGTATGGCTACTGCTGCTGCTCCATCTCAGCCCCATCTCCTGCCTGAGCTCAGCTTTTCCAGCCGTAACTCATTCCTGCTAATTAGGACAAAGGCTCTTGCTGGTCTGTAAGGGAACCACTTTCACATGGGAAGCCCTTCGTTTGTTTCCACCCCCTGTGCCCAAGCACGAGTTAGCCGCGTTATGAGACAAGACTCCAACAGAAAAAAACACAGACAAGAAGAATCTTTCAGCTCTTCCCTGAGGTCACCTTCACTTGGCAAAATAAAATCCCCCTCACGTGAGTGCTGCTCAGCCAAATGTATAAACATAAAAAATTGATGGAAACAGCTATGAGCTGCTCATCCTTCATCCAACAGACATTTCTACATGATCTAACTTGACACACACACAAAAATGAATATGTAAATAATTTTCCTAAACCGCACAAGCTTTGAAACAAGGTGCTATTGATCAGAAGCTGACATGTAATGACTTACTGACATGTAAATGATTCATCATTTCCAAATATATACTTTTTTTGACTTTGCTGAGCACTAAAAGAGTTTGGTGCAAGTAACCTTTAGTCCCGTGCTTGCTGAACACACCTCACTTTGCCTTGTAAATTAGTGAGGTGTAAATGACCCTATTTAATTGGAAAAATCAGTGCAGACGAGTGTGGAAGTAAATGGAAAATGCAAATCAGTAACTGGAGTCAATACCCAAAACTGGGTAACTACAGGGAGTGCAGAATTATTAGGCAAGTTGTATTTTTGAGGAATAATTTTATTATTGAACAACAACCATGTTCTCAATGAACCCAAAAAACTCATTAATATCAAAGCTGAATGTTTTTGGAAGTAGTTTTTAGTTTGTTTTTAGTTTGAGCTATTTAGGGGGATATCTGTGCATAATTATTAGGCAACTTAACAAAAAACAAATATATACCCATTTCAATTATTTTTACCAGTGAAACCAATATAACATCTCCACATTCACAAATATACATTTCTGACATTCAAAAACAAAACAAAAACAAATCAGCGACCAATATAGCCACCTTTCTTTGCAAGGACACTCAAAAGCCTGCCATCCATGGATTCTGTCAGTGTTTTGATCTGTTCACCATCAACATTGCGTGCAGCAGCAACCACAGCCTCCCAGACACTGTTCAGAGAGGTGTACTGTTTTCCCTCCTTGTAAATCTCACATTTGATGATGGACCACAGGTTCTCAATGGGGTTCAGATCAGGTGAACAAGGTGGCCATGTCATTAGTTTTCTTCTTTTATACCCTTTTTTAACAAGCTTGACTCCATCCTCAACCCGAAAAGGCCCCACAAGCTCATCTTTGATGATACCAGCCCAAACCAGTACTCCACCTCCACCTTGCTGGCGTCTGAGTCGGACTGGAGCTCTCTGCCCTTTACCAATCCAGCCACGGGCCCATCCATCTGGCCCATCAAGACTCACTCTCATTTCATCAGTCCATAAAACCTTAGAAAAACCAGTCTTGAGATATTTCTTGGCCCAGTCTTGACGTTTCAGCTTGTGTGTCTTGTTCAGTGGTGGTTGTCTTTCAGCCTTTCTTACCTTGGCCATGTCTCTGAGTATTGCACACCTTGTGCTTTTGGGCACTCCAGTGATGTTGCAGCTCTGAAATATGGCCAAACTGGTGGCAAGTGGCATCTTGGCAGCTGCACGCTTGACTTTTCTCAGTTCATGGGCAGTTATTTTGCACCTTGGTTTTTCCACACGCTTCTTGCGACCCTGTTGACTATTTTGAATGAAACGCTTGATTGTTCGATGATCACGCTTCAGAAGCTTTGCAATTTTGAGACTGCTGCATCCCTCTGCAAGATATCTCACTATTTTTGACTTTTCTGAGCCTGTCAAGTCCTTCTTTTGACCCATTTTGCCAAAGGAAAGGACGTTGCCTAATAATTATGCACACCTGATATAGGGTGTTGATGTCATTAGACCACACCCCTTCTCATTACAGTGATGCACATCACCTAATATGCTTAATTGGTAGTAGGCTTTCGAGCCTATACAGCTTGGAGTAAGACAACATGCATGAAGAGGATGATGTGGACAAAATACTCATTTCCCTAAAAATTTCCCAAAAAGTTTCCCAAAACCTCTCCGCTAAACAGCCACCACAAAGCAACAAAGAAAAACACAGTTCAACAGTCCAATCCCCCGGTCCAGTGGCAGCAAACACAGTTCTGGTGGCCGACCCGCAGGACGGCAAAACAAGCGGGACCTGCTGTGGGTTAGGCAGTGGCGGCAAAACAGTTCTACCTCTAACCCCTTGATGGAAACGCAGCAGCTCTGGGCGGCCACGGGTCCGGCAGCAGCAGCGGAACAGTTCTGGTGGCCTGCCACGGGTCCGGTGGCAGCGCTGCTCCTCCGGTGGCCTGCCCCGGGTCCCGTGATAGCAACAGAATGCATCAGGCGGCCTGCCACGGGTCCGGTGGCGGCGGCATCGCAACAGCTCCGGCGGGCGGCCACGGATCCGGTGACAGCTCCGGCGGCCGGCCACGGGCCCGGTGACGGCGGTGTTGCAGCTCCGGCCGATGGCCACGGGGCCGGTGACGGTGGTGTGACAGCTCCGGCGGACGGCCACGGGTCCGGGGGCGGCCGTGTGACAGCTCTGGCGGACGGCCACGGGTCCGGTGGCGGCGGCGGAGTAGAATGGCCCATAATCCCCGACGTGCTGGACGTGGACGGCGTGGAGGTCGTGGACGCGGATCGCGTGGATGGCGTGCTAGACGTGGGCGGCGTGGATGTCGTGGAGGGCGCGCTAGACGTGGGCGGCGTGGATGGCGCGCTAGACGTGGAGGTCCCTCCGGCTCGCTGACCTCCGGCTTCGGCTGAGCGGGTCCCTCCAGCTCGCCGAGGTCTTCCGCTGGCAACGCCGGTCCCTCCGGTTCGTTGAACTCCTCAGCTGGTGGTTCGTTGAGCTCCGGCTCCTGCACGCTGAGCTCCGGCTCGGGCAGCGCAAGCTCCACCGGCTCGCTGAGCTCGACAGGCTGCGGCGCGGGCTCCTCCCGCTCGCTGAGCTCCCGCTGGGGCTCGCTGAGCTCCGGTGCGGGCCCCTCCGGCTCACTGCGCTCCTCCGGCTCGCCGGGCTCCTCAGCTGGCGGGGCTGGCTCCTCCCGCTCGCTGAGCTCCTGCTCGGGCAGCGCGAGCTCCTCCCGCTCGCTGAGCTCCTGCTCGGGCAGCGCGAGCTCCTCCTGCGGCTCCCGCTCGCCGAGCTCCTCTGCAGGCTGCTCTGCAGGCGGCGCGGGCTCCTCCCGCTCGCCGAGCTCCTCTGCAGGCTGCTCTGCAGGCGACGCGGGCTCCTCCCGCTCGCCGAGCTCCTCTGCAGGCTCCTCTGCAGGCGACGCGGGCTCCTCCCGCTCGCCGAGCTCCTCTGCAGGCTCCTCTGCAGGCGGCGCGGGCTCCTCCCGCTCCTCAACTGGTGGCTCGCCGAGCGGCTCCCGCTCCTCAGCCGGTGGCTCGCCGGGCTCCCGCTCGGGCAGGGCAGGTGCGGGTGGCGAAGCAGCAGCCGGTGAAGAAGATGGCTGAGGGGTGACTGCAGGTGGATGAGATGACGGCGGCGCTACAACTGCAGATGGTGAAGCAGCGAGTGGTGTGGAGACCGCTGAATGAGGCGGCGCTAGCTGTACCGTTGGCCGGCTTGCAGCAGCGTCAGCGGTGTCACCATCCACTGTAAACAAAAAAGCAGACGGGGTGAGAAATGAAAAAGTGTCCTTATTACTCACCACAGCCGGCTCTTGAGATGTCCAGGAGGTCGGCTGTGGTGAGGAATGCCGACGGCGCGAACGTCGTTTCCGGGTAGACGTCGGGACCGGCATGTCGGGCTGAAGAACTTCAGGCTGGCCGGGTGGGGGGGCAGCCTGGATCGGAGAGTGGAGGTGAAGGGTGTTGAGCAGGAAATCCGCCACAATCGGAAAAAGATTGTCCAACACCCAGGGAAAACAAGTCAGTGTTTCCTGCAACCGCTTCTCCACAGCGCACCGTAAAACCTCCGCGTGCGCTTCCAGCCACAGGTCTCACAGGTCCATCTGGCAGGATCGTTCTGTCATGGTCTGGGTGGCAGACCGTGGGGGGATGTTGGAGAAAGGACCCAAACGCTGGACTTAGTGGAATGAGCAGTGGATTTATTTACAGTGAGGTAAATGTACACCATACAATAAATCTCCAAAGTGCTACCTCGACTCCCGTGACGTGTCTTCCCCTAAGTGCTGGTATCTCGTGCTCTCTGCCCTGTGCCTTCGCACACCCCATGTGTCTTGCAGTCCTGTGTTCTGCTGTCCTCCTGAGAAAAAACGACAGACACAGCCATTATGGCACCAACTCCAGCAGGCATACACTGACCAGCACTATCAACACTGACATGGAGTCTAACTCAACGATCCTGCCCCGGAGGAAGCTCCATCGCTCTGTTAAGTACGAGCCCGATCAGAAGCAGGTGTGTGAGAACCTAGGCGTGACCGGCAGCCGGAAGGGCCACGCCCATCAGGCCTGCAGGTGGCTGTCCTTCATTCTTCAGTCACACCCGCAGACACCCACACACCCACACCAGCATGGAACACAAGAGCACAGTGCAGCAAACATACATCCAATACACTAATAACAATAATAATAACAATAACAATAATGGTTCACACTGTTCACGAACCCCGAGTCCCCGGAACCGGATCCGGGACATATATACAACAACTATTTACCTAAAAATGAAACCAATGGCTCTGGCATTTTTTTGTACAACCATTTAAAACTTGCCACATATAATTTGAATTGCATATATTTTTTTTAATCTGAACTTTTTTCTACATGGCCTATCAACACAATTAAAACTGGTATATAGTTTGAAGTCTGCAATTTCAACACAAGTTGAAACAGAAACATAATGAGGCTGTATTTTGCTGCTATGTCATCTTAAATTGGTTATCTGTGTCTGTTTGAGATTCTTGCATAGAGCTATCAGCATTAGCTGATAACATAGCCCTCCGCACTGCTGTCCAAATCCCATTACCAAAATGCTATAACTGAGGCGCCGGTTAGT